GAGAAATGTCAAGAAATAGTAATCTTGACACTGATAATCTTGTATCTTCTTATGTTTTTTTCATGTATTTCTTTCAGGAATGGGTTACAGATAGTCCCTTCATTATATCACCAAGAATCACCTTTGAGGTCAGTGTACGGCTTCTTGGTGGGTTGATGGCATTAGGATATTCAATTGCAACCATTTTGAAAAGGAGCAGCCACATCTTCTCTGATGACAAGGTTTGTGTGAAAACAGATTGGTTGGAGCAACTTAATCGCCAGTATGTTCAGGTATGACAATCACTAATTACTAAATCGCTCTCATCTCATCTTAATATAATTTACTTTAAATGTTTGAATCATGTGATTTGCGAAGCAGAATTTCTTTTGTCCTTTTATCTGTCTCTTGTTTTGAGAATTTGGGTTAATTTTATTTCATCTGGAATTCAGGTAAAGATATGTGTCATAACCTCCTAACAAATCTCTTTAAGGCTGTACCTAGCGATGTCTTAGACTTAGAATGTGGCTAAGGCAGTGGGTAATTGAATGTTTGTGAGGCATGTGCATGGCACAATCGGCTAAGTTGCCATTTTATTAATCTACTGGAAGCGACTTTGATTTTTTGGGTTGAGACAAATGTAAGGATTGTATTTTGGAGAAATATCCAGTTTGGATACAATGCTTGCTCATCATTATCATTGAAGTGTTTACCTTAAATTCTTGTTTGACTTAAAAAATTATAAACGTGACATGAAGCATGATGAAAAATGAAGTAAAGGGCCCTTTAAAAGGGGAAAGAAAGAGTTCCCTAAACCTCAGTTAAAGAAGTTTAACAAATATCAATGAAGAAATTTTCTGATGAATGTGTGAGTTCATTTTTAAATTTTCCTTTTGCTGAAGACCTAAGGAACAAAGAGAAGTCAGTGAGAATGAGTTTCCTCTTTCTCAATTCTGGCATTGTATAGCCTGGGGAGCTAATTACTATTATTATTTACGATTTTTCCCTTATGAAGGTGCAAGGAAGAGATCGCTTACATGTAAAATATGTTGCCGACTCTCTGGGTTTGGATGGTTCATATATTCCTCGCACTTACATCGAGCAAATTCAGCTGGAGAAGCTTTTAAACGATGTTATGGTGCGTTAAATTTTAGTTAAATACAAATTTCCCATTGTTCCTGGTTCTCAGTATTACAGTCCATGCAGGCATTGCCAGATGATCTGAGGACAAAGCTGAGCATAGATGATGATTTGGTCTCAAGCCCTAGAGAAGCTTTATCCCGAGCCTCGGCAGATAGGAGAACAAAGTTTCTTAATCGGTAGGTCATAGGCTAAATTGTTATCTGCTTCTTAAAGTATTCTATATGTATTGTTTGGATGTTTTTACTTTTTACAATCATCGCCTACTTATTTCTGCAAAAGTCATGCGACGGAAAAGCATCATCTGTTCGCCTGTAACTATTGGCAGTGGTATCCCACATTCCTACTCAACACAACGAGAAAAACACCTGTCCAAGCTGACAAAACTTGCGGTTAATACTACAAGATATGATGGGAGAACCCCTGATTCTCCAGCGCCAGTGGCTAATCAGGTAATTATTCGGAGCCATAGGTTCATTTTTTGGCACAATCTAATGTCTCCATAATTTTGGCTACATATTAATGTTATATTTGGTGCGTGAACTGGCTTCCAATTTTTTTTCTCTGTTTGGTGTTCTCTTGAAATTGCTCTTAGAAAATGTATACCCTACTTGGGGGCATTTGTTTGACATAGTTGCACAACTTTAGCTCTAATATAATAATTTACTCCAGGAAAAGGGTAAGAGTTTCATCCACCGTCTTAGATCATTTTCTGAACACCATTTTTTTTAATCAAGTAAAAGGTTTCATTTATAGTAACAAGGCCAACTTTTTTGATAAGAATAGTAACAAGGCCAACTTTTTTGATAAGGATAGTAACAAGGTCAACTTGGCTGTATACAAGTGATATACCAATTCTGAACACCATTAATTGATTCTTATTGATACTCAAGAATGATATCACCCTTTCCTGCTCATTCCTCTCCACTACCATCATGAACTCATAACCACGCCCTTGACCACAGCTACATGCTATCAAGTCTTTTGGTAATTTAAATATTCCCTTATATCAGAATGGTGTAAATCGTAACTCAAACCAACTAACCTGTGGAAAGATTTACATTTGCTTGTATGTTTGGAAATAGAATCCTGCTGAAAGTTTGTTCAGCAGAATGAAATGAGTCCTTCATGTAGGAGTTAAGAAAACGCACACTAGGATCTCGTCATCTGCAGAATCAGCAAGTAAGTTGACTTTGTAACTTTGGAAAGGAAGTAAAATGATGATAAGCTGGCAACCCTGGGGATCGGTGACTGGAAATTCCTGCTAAAAGCTGATGGATCCCTTTTTAATCATGCAAAACAGCAAGTATTTTTTTAAAATAATTTACAGTAGTTCGTATAGATGTACAGAAAGCATATTTGCTTGTTTAATTAATAAAATATTGAGAAGAGACTTTAATTCAAGTCCTATAAATCTTTTAAGTGTTCATACACCCTTGAACCAGTGTGTAACAGCTCACTAATCGAGTGCTCTTGCACCGAAAATGAATGGGGCTAAGCGATCTGCTGAAGCTGTGGGGTGTCAAAATACATCGGCAGGGATATTTGAATTCCTTGTCCCACTCTTTCCAGTATTCTGTAAAACAGCAATTAGGAATAGGGAATATATATCAATGAAATGTCTTAACTGTTGGAATCATTTTTTTCATGGAGATTGAATCCGCATCATCCTAGTCGAGAAACACACGCTGCTTCATCCCTCAAATCACCGAGATAAATCAAGAGAGAATAATAATCAAGGGAACAAACTGAATTGTAGCCATATTGTTTTATCAATAAAATTATGTTAATCAATATCTTTTGTAAAAAAAAGAATCCATTCATGTTCGTAAAAATAAAAATAAAAATTACTTTGTTTCGTCGATATGGAGAACTTGGTACTGGAAACTTTACCTGCTAAGAGAGTGGAAAATATTGTTAATGTGCACGGGGATACTCAAAGTACAATGAGATACATTTTTGGAGCCAAATATTCTTCTTTTTGTATGTTGTATGTTAGCTTCCAATTTAAGCAAGAATAAAAAACGTGAATGTTGTTCCATTTATTCCTACATATCTGTCCAGCAGAATATGTGTGCTGTTTTTCCTTCTGTTTTCCTGCTTAATTCCATCATTTCTTATACATCAGAAGAGAAGTCAATTTACTACCAGTACGTCCCACTTATGCGGAACTGTTTATAATATGCTCAATCTTACATTTACCTTTTTTGTTACTTTTTTCCCTCAATCACTCAAGAATTGCCTTTTTTCAGGGAGTTGTTTCTCAACTTACAGAGCAAATTTCCACATTGAGTGAGCGAATGGATGAGTTCACATCTCGGATTGAAGAGCTAAACTCAAAAATATCTGCCAATAAAGTTTCTGCTAGCCAACAAAATTTGGCAGTGCATGCTGAGTCTTGCAATGGGTCTGGACCCACTTCTCTTTTTGTGGCTGGGTTAGGCAATGGCTCGTTGGCTGGTTCTCTTTTACCTCATTCATCATCATCTTCCCAACTGGCAAGAGAGTCTTCACTAATGGAAGAGGTATTCTACTATCATCCCGTGCTCATCTTTTGCATTAAGTAGTGACAAAAGGAGGCATGGCGGGTAGTTTGATATACTCTCCCAATAGCTGTCCAATTTCTGCCTTCTGACTCAATATGACCAATTTTTAGAGTGAATTTGGTTATTGCATAATTCATCCATTTGAAAATAATTCTTTTATCTCACAAAGAACACTAATGAGTGCACAAGGGTTTTCTTTGATCCATCACTTTCACACTGTTCACCAGTTAAATAAAAGATTTCAATTGATTTACCAATCTAGGCATCAGAACTTTCAATTGCATCGTTAATATTTACTGTGATGATTTTTACCTTATCATTACTTGAGTCGAGGGTCTATGAGAAACATCCACTCTATCATCACAAGGTAGGGGTAAGGTTGCATACACACTACCCTCCCCATACCCCATTTGTGGGATTACATTGGTATGCTATTGTTGTACTTGAGACTGCATTGGGTGTTAATAACTTCTGTTTCCACGAACTAAAAATTTCTCTGAAAACAACCATAGTCCAAATTCCAACACATTTGTCTGAAGAAGATTTGAGAATTTGATTAGACAATTATGCCTCTGATGCAAACATAATTGGGAGCAGGTACTTCTCATTGGGAGATCACAGCGTCAGATCATGCACCAGATGGACAATCTGAGCAATATCCTCCGTGAGCTCAACGGATCTCACCTAGGGAGAGCGGATAGGACCGAGGGAATGGCTGAAGGTGTTGAATCGATTGGTGTTCCTCTGCTTCTTACCCTTGCTGTTGGCGGTGTAGGTATCTTCTTGTTCAGGACCTTATCTCAAAAATAACTGATTCAGCTATGGCTACTGAAACAGTTAACCACGTAGAAGATGTACATATACTAAGATAAATCTTTTAACAGTGTAGATGTATGTTTCTGGCCTTAGTATCTTCGATGAACCAATATATATATGAAGAAGATGAAGTAATTGTCTCTAACAGATGGAGCGAATATTTCTTCGTTCGGTCTTTTGTTTTGATATCCTGGTTTATGTGTAAATAAAAAAAAGCATGAGAAAACTCCTCACATTTCATCCTTGTTACCAACAAAAGGAAACGAAGTCCTTCAAATTTTAGGTTGAAGGACTTTGTTTCTTTTTGTTGTTTCGTGAATTTCTGATCAAGTTGGGGTAAAAATTGAGTGATCTTTCATTCCTTATGCCTTGTTACTTATCAGCTTTCAGCTTCTTTATTCACGTGTATATAGTTAGATGATTGGATGGTGACGTAGATAAATAGCAGATACATATAAACATGCTCCAAAACTAAGTAGAGGGCAATTAAGTGAAACCATCGATAGATCATAATTCTGTTTATCAAAACAAGGAGGAAGTAGTTTCGTGAATTTCTGATACAACTTGATCATACTCTTCCTTCAGTTTCTCTTGATCTTCTTGCCCAAGTTCCCCCTTAGTAGGCTTTGTCAATACCAAAACGCAGCAAGTTGGCCTCTTAGTGGCTCCAGCACTTGCAAGATCCTGAAAACACAGTTTTTATCATGATCACGAAAGTAACTCGTAAGATAACATGCATCACAACACAAGAATGTAATAATATTAAGTGAGTATGAGATAAAAACTTCAGCTTACTTCTTTTGAAGGAACATAAATGTATGGTATATCAGCTTCCTCACATAGGAGTGGAACGTGAGTAATGACATCGATAGGAGAAATGTTTCCAGCTATAACACACAATCTGCAATTCCCAAAAGACATATGATGTTCATAAGCTTGTTAATTCACAAATATGGCATGTAGACAAGTTCATGTCACAAATATTTCAGGGTAGAAAAATTTACCATTGAGCAAAATTAGCAAGCTATGGAATTGCTTGTACAAGTGCTTATGGGCGGCTATGCTACAGAGCAGCTAATAAGGTACTGACTGATGTGGAAGAAGGCTTACCAAGGAAAACATCAATTTTGACTCTTTACCGACAATTAGGTATATTGATTTAATTGCTTCCATTAAGACGAGCCTGGAGTAACTAAAAAGCCTAAAATCTACACATGAGCTATTCTTACTGTGTAAGTCGTAATTATACAGCCAGCTCTTTGTGTAAGTTATTTCAATATCATTTCACCAGGGGTGTCCACAGTTTGGTGAAAAACCAAACCAAATCGATTAAAAGAATCAATACTTATTTTGTTTGGTTTGAAATTTAAAAAAATCAACAATATTTGGTTTGGGTTTAGTTCTACTAAAAAAGAAACCGAAAAAATAACAAATAAATTTTATAATTTATTTGAATATATAGGAGTTTTTCATAAAGATTTTATACTTTTATATCATTAATTTGATTTCAGTCTACTTATTTCATATGCACTAAAACACTTTTAAATTCTTTCTTAAAAAAATATTCTCCAAGTCTAATATGTTGTCTATAGGAGTCTCTACAATTATATAAATTAAACACACTAAAGCTTCGAAATAGTGTTGAAAAATAATAGAAGATTCAGATACAATCACCTTGTTATAGTAGAGAGAAATTTGTTGATTCCTACTGTTCATTTAAAATAGTTATCGCATGTCTATTTTATTTTACTATTATCAACTTATCTTTAAGTAGTAATGAACCGAATGGTTTTTATTATACTTAATTTGGTTTCAGAAATGTAAAAATCAACTAAATTAATTTAGTTTTTTTATTTTAATAAAAAAACTTATCCAAATAGAACCGGGAACCCCTACCTTCCAGGGGCATTATGGCACGGAACTCAGGTGCGGCCTAGGGCTAGAAGTACTTGTCCATCCATTTAAAAGTCTATTCTAAAGCATGAGGCTTGATCTAACACTAAGGGTCGTTTGGTGTAATGGATAAGAAAAGTTAATCCCGGGATAAATTTTAAGTGCCCTTATAGGTAATAGGACTATCATCCTACAGACTGAGGACAATCATCAAGAAATACTCAATTTCCAGTTTTCAACACATGCTCACCAGAACTCTAACGATTTTGTGAAAGACGCACCACTTTCGTGGTTAATTTTTGAGGTTGAGTTAGACTCAAAATCCATTTCTTTACAAGTTCAGTATGCCAGGGCGTGCATGTATTCGTGTCTAAAACAGGCATTCCAGAACAAGAAAGCCTATTACTCTCTCTGTCCCAACTCCTTCCAATTTGTGTGGTACCAATTTATATTTACAAGCTATTTAAATTTCGAGAGTGAGACAATTTAATTTTGACTATGAATTGACAAAGAGATCATAGATGAAAGAAAGAGAAAAAGTGGACTGACCCTTTATGACCGCGACGAATACTTTTCACTACCTCTTTAACTCCTTTCTTCAAGCATTTATGTTCCGTAGCTGAAAACAGAACAATGGTGTGATTAAACAAATGTTAAAAAAAATATCACAAATACTTAGTCCCCAGAAGTTTATGGATACCTCGCCTAACGAGTTTGAAGGTTCGTTTGCTGAGTTTTTTTCCAGCGAGTGGTTTAGCAATAGGGGCTATAGCCAATAGCTTCTTTCTCTCCTTCTCTTTTTGTGCCGTTTTCTCTACTTCGCTATCACTACCACCCATCTCTCTCTTGAACGTAAAAGCAAAAGCAGGGCGTCGGTGTAGGGTTTAACGAAATGGGGAGAGGTTGGAACTCGATATCACTAGGGTTTAAGGACCAAGGAAATTGTTTTAAGTTGGGCCTTTATGGGACATAAGGAGTGTTTTTATCTTTTGGCTAGGGGTCTGCAAAAATCGAACTGACCGATAAATCGAATCGAAAAAAATGTTATTGGTTTATTGTTATTGAGTTATTGGATTAACGGGTTTTTATTGGTTTTATTAAAAAAATATCGGTTTGGTATTGGTTTTGAATAATGGGTTATTGGCTAAAACGATAACTGATTAAGACTAGTAATTTACTACATTTACTTGTACATAAATATTATATATTAATTCACACTTTAAAGTTACTGTCTTTTATCCTTTAGCTTTTAATTCACACTTCAAAGTGACTTTTAGTTCACAACTTCACATTATGCAAAACGTCAAAATCTAAAATAAGAACTTTATTCCTCTTATGGGCAGGTGGGACCCACATGCACCAAGTAACTTTTTAAAAAAATCCGTGTATATATATATATATTTAATTGTGCACCCTAACAACTAAAAGTTGTTGCTGGTGCACTGGTCGAAGTCATGTGATTGAATCCCAACGAAGGTAACCTTTTTTTTAAACTTAAAATTCAGTTTTTTCTCTTTTTAAAAAAAAACGTTTGTCCCATTATCGATTCCTGCCAATGGCGGAGCCAAAATTTCAACTAAGGAGTGTCAAAATATAAAGAAGTTAAATTGTGTAGAAGCCGAGGAGTGTCAAATATGTAATATATATACATAAAAAATATATTTTTATCTAGCTATGCAATATAATTTTTCGACGAAGGGGTGGCGGTCGACGCCCCTCAATTGTATGTGGCTCTGCCACTGATTCCTGCCGAAGGTAACTTTTTTTTTTTACTTTAAATTCAGCTTTTACTCTTAAAAAAACCTTTTGTCCCATTCCTTTCTTAATTAAATTTAAAAACAAATAAAAGCCCTAGCATAATTCTAAACAAAATATAAGACTAACTTTTTCTAGAACAATTCTAAACAAAATATAAGACTTCTAGAAAATCTACTGCTTACAAGTATTCTTCACTGCATAATTAAAGTCCTACTCCAATTATCTCGCATAAATTGGTAAGTTCTTTTTTATAAAGGTATTTTTTTTTGTAAGAATTTGTTGTTGATTCTTATGATTTGAAATGAATAGATTTTTGACAAAACATAATTCTTCTCAACCAAGTTCTAGTTTTAGAGACAATTCTTCGCGTTTTATAACTCAAACTAGATCTTGGAGAAAGAATATCCATTGATAAATATAGCCCTAGAATACGAGATGAAGTGAGAAGACACTATATTCAACAAGGTCCTTGTCAACCGGATATTAATGATAATGAATAACCTCAAATTAGATTCGGAACGAAAATGCGTCGATTTTGTAAGGCATGGTTTAGGGGTTCATATTCTAGATGGTTGGAGTGTAGTATGAAGAAAGATGTTGTATTTTGCTTATGTGGAAATGCATGTGATTTTTTCACGAAAACTGGTTTTAATTTTTATTTTTTTTAATTATCATGTTCAATATTGATTAAAGTGAAATAAAATAATAAAATTCACTATTAAAATTTATTGGGACCTCAAAATTTTTGGAGACCTAAGCAGGATGCTCCGCTAACCTTACCCTTGAGTCACTCCTAGCCTTACCCTTGAGCCACTCTTATTGGTGCCCCCATCTTCAAATCCTGGGTTCGTCTCTGCTTATGGGTAAGGAGTGTTTTTGAATATTTGACTCAGTTTAACAAATTCTAAAAAAGATATTGTTGCCTATCGGACATACATTTTAGTTGTAATGTTATGTAAGTTCAAGACATTTTAAAAAGTAATAGATAGTGTGATGTGTTACATATGTGTTGCCTATCAGATGTAAGTTTTAATTGTAATGTTGCGTTAGTTAAGAGTTCATCAGAAAGTTAAAGATAGTGTGATGCATAACACTCAGAAGTTTCAGCTATATCGGCATGTGAAGAACTGAAGAACATATGCAAAAATTGATTCGGTTTATTGTATTAAAATATCCCGAATTCTTGCATTATGAATAAAATTAATTTATGCCCGCAGCTTATATTTAATGAGCGACAAAAATCATTTCTTAATTTTTTTGCTAAAGCAGGATCAAAAATTTAAAATCACCATTATGAAGGTCATTCTTTGCAGATCGCCCCATGTTTGGGTCTACCCTTCATGAAAAACACAAATGAAACCCACTGTCTTTTTTGCCAATAAATCTTTACGGATTTTATTTTTTTAGCAATTGGCTAAAAAGAAGTCACCAATCTAACCAGAATACTTTGTATTCATTGTCAAAGTAATTATCTCTTTCATTTTAATTTGTTTGTCTAGTTTTGATTTGAGATATAATTTAGAAAGTAAAAAAAAACTGAATTATGATCTTAAATTAAAAGATACGTAGAATGTATCATAATATTCTTTAATTTTATGATCTTAAACATGTTATGTAAAAGATTGAAATTAAAGAATTATCATATAAAGGAAAGGATAATTTTTTTTTAAAAATGAATCAAAAATAAATAAATAAATAAGACGAACAAATTAATATGTATTTCTTCCGGTTCCGATGGAACCACACTAATGCCTTGAAAACTACGGTAGTTAAGATTATGAAATGGTTCCTCATGGAAATATATGATTATTTACTTAATTTAGGTAAGTTTCATCATTTACTAGATGATGTGGTTGTAGCTATAGATCTTACGGCTCCCATTTAATTTCTAGAGTTCCATAGCAGAAGAATTTCGAATTATATTTCACTCGTATCTGTTTAATTTTTTTAGAGTTAATTTAATTATTTTTTGAAACTAAATTAATTTGATTTTAAAATTAAAATGTCAATATTAAAAATTATATGAAAAGTATTATAAATTACAATTTTCTTCCTATCATTATAATGAAAAGATATATGTAAAAATATTGGTCATATTCATTGATTTGAGTCTCAAAAAATTAAACGTAATAAGTATTTTGAGACGGATAAAGTAATAGTTTAAGTTTGGTTGTACTTATGTTCTCCACGTATATAACCTACATAAACTAGGGGTGTATGTAGATCAAATTGATTCGGATTTTTTCAATATTAAGCCAAATTAATTGTGTAAGATCTTTTTTAAATCTATAAATCAAATCAAACTAATAAAAATCAAATTCTTCATCCTTGGATTTTTTTCGAGTTTCCCCCCCATATAAAGTCTTCATACAAAATATATAACTTGTACTTAAAATATTTAGTGATGATGTATTTCACTATCTAAGTCGATGCAAATCTAAAGAATAAATATCTAACGTTATTGTCATTCCTAGAATTGAATTGAATTTCTTTTATTAGCGTTAGTATTGGTTTGATCTTTATATAAATTGAATCATTCAAATTTCTAAGTTCAAGATTAAAATAATATATTAAAACACAAAATTATGAAAAACTTAAAGAAATATTTATAAATGAATTATAATATTTATAAATGTTGTATACATATTGTGCCGGGTTAATTTGATTCAATTTGATATAGTTAAAATCAAACTAAATCAATTATTATCAATTTTTTTCACATCAAATCAAGTTATACCAAATTGCTAATCAATTTTTTTTTTTCAATTTAACTCGAATTATCTATGTGATGTGATTTGTCAATTTTCCTTGTAGACCCCTAACACAAACCTACAATAAACTAGCAGTTATGACAGCCACCTTTGGACGTTTCCTATTAAGGACATATCATTTTTAAACATATTGTATCAAATTAATTTATCATGATTTGGTACTTTTAAGTATGATTTCTGTATTTTGCAGTATTATAGTTGATATTAATAATTTATTTGATTTAAATATACTTATATATAAAAAAAATATGATTTAGACTTTTCAAGAAACACTTCAATTATATTATACATACTAGATATGAAAGGGCCCGTTAACGGGCCCAATATTACAAATTTAAGAGGTATTTAATTAATTTTTTGAAAAGAAAAATTATCATTAATATTTTCTAATAAAAACGAGAGTAAATGATAATAAAATCACACTTTATATTAATAACAATAATAATAATAATTTTTATATATATATATATATATATATATATATATATATATATATATATATAAACATATATTTTTATCAAATCATAACTTGTAACTTATTTAAATTGTCTTAATTAACAATACAATATAATATGCACCAATGGTTATTTTAACATAATGTCAAACATAATTAAACAGTTAATTATATATATATATATATATATATATATATATATATATATATATATATATATATATATATATATATATATATAAACATATATTTTTATCAAATCATAACTTGTAACTTATTTAAATTGTCTTAATTAACAATACAATATAATATACACCAATGGTTATTTTAACATAATGTCAAACATAATTAAACAGTTAATTTGATGATATTCTTTTCACATTTAGAGTAGTATAAACATGAAAAATAAAATAAAATTATATCTTATTTTAAGATAATAAAATTATTTTTAATTATTTATTTTTAATAGATATGAAAAATAAATTAACACAAAGAAATAGATAATCTTTTTATTTCACTTTATTTGAAAATCAACATCTGATTATGAAAATTACAAATATAACTTAAAGTTGTATTTGAAATTTGAAAAACATTCAAAACCTTGTTAATATTTTAAGGGGCCGTTTGGTTACTGTATAAGATGCATTTTTTTCTCATATATAAAAAGTTGTATCTGTTTTACTATATTTGGTAGAAATTTTGTATTAGGTAGAAAAGCCAACATGACTTACCATGTTTGGTTGATACGTTTCATTCTTGTATTAATTCTATACGGTGTATGGTTACATTTTTTGTAATCCTACATAATTGATACCTACATAACTTATGAGGGAATCTATGTATAAATTATGCATGATAAAAGATGGAATAAG